TTTTTTACATCCAAATAAGAGTAAAGATTGTATTTTTAGTGTCTTATTTATCTTTGCAGTATTTCAAATAAGATTAGAGGGAGTTTTTTACATTACACTTCCAAATTGACTTGTGAAGTAAAGCTTAAGCTAACAAGAGCATTTCTACAGACCAGCGGACCTGTGATAGCTTTCTTCCATGACTCTCTAAAATATTAGGTAGGAGTCTCTAAATACTGCTAGAGCTGTATACTGGTTCTATGTTTCTAAGTTTCCAAAGTACATCTGAACAGACTCTCTCACCAAACCCTCCTAAATCTGATGCCTGAACCTTCCTCTACTGACCTATGGTAACAACTAACTGCTGCTATATTTCTAGTGCACCTTTTCAGTTAATGTTCATTCTTTTTAATCCAATCAAATAATAATCCAGGTTATTGTTCTTCACTTTAGAATCTAGAATTTTTCTTCCCAGTGGAGATCAAAATAGAACTTCATTCTTTCTTTTGCACAGGAAGTTTTCTGATAGGAAGCCTTCATGTCGTTAGCCACTAGTCCTTCCTTTGCGGAGATCTAAAGCCAGGGAAGGAAGGGACAAGCCTTCCTGCCCACTACAGATGGCAGGCCATAGGCCGCTGTGCTCTGGGCAGGAGTAGAGAATTAAGGAAGCTGAAGGATGGCTCAAGGACATTTCCAGCTAATCTGTTATTGGGTTGGATTGTCCATGTCCTTCATGTGCATCTGAGTGTGTTGTGGCAGACTCAAGTAGCTGTCCCAGACCAAGAGGCCAATTAGGAAATCACTTACAGTTTATTAATGATGTAGTTTATACATTTTATATTTTCCAGATTTGGTTAATCAATTATGTAATTTAGCAAGCATTTAAATAAAATGTATAGTAATGATCTAATTTGCATAAAAAATTATGACCTATTTACATACACCATGGAAAATACAATATTATAAAAAAAATTTAACAGTGATTGTTTTTCCCCTGGGTATTTGGATTATGACTAATTTTCACTTTGTTTTTGTGCTTATCTGTTTTTTTCCAGTATTTTTACTATAAATATATATTAGGTCATGATCACTTTCAAACTACATATGTAGTGCTATGCTAACCTTTCTAGTGAGGATGGAGGATTATTAAAATCATGTGATATAGTCTATAAATATAAATCAAATTGTATTATATTATTAAAATAATATATGCTGTTAGAGGCATAATTTAGATTATTGACCAAGAGTAAATGCAAAAGAAGATTTAAATAATTATATATCAAAGATTTACATGGTAACAAAATAAACAATAAGGATATTTTGAGGTAGTGTGTACAGACAATTTATAATGGAATTTATACCTTCAAAAACAACTCATTTAATTATGAGAAAAAAACAACTTTTAATGTTGGTATTATGACCCCTCTTTTCAGACCAGGGAACTAAGGGCTGTTTTTCTATTTGGCTTGTGAATCTACGTACAGACTCTAATGCAGTAAGAGCTTAATAATACTTACAGAGAGCTTACTATCTGCCAGGAGATACTCCATCGTTTTCCATGAGGTTAAGTGTGGTGCAGTGATTGAGAACGCAGCTCCTTGAACCAAATGCTCTGTTTAAATCTTTACTTTGCTACTCATAAGAAGCTCTATGGCTTCTGGCAAGTAATTTAACCTCTCTGGGCTTTTATTTTGTCATTGTAAAAATGTGGGTAATAATATGTATGCTACAGGTTTAAGGGGATTAGTGAGTTGTGAAAGGAAAATACTTTCAGCACAGTGTGGTAGATTGCATTAGCTATTACCAAAATATATTAACTCATTTAAATTTTATAACACTACAGGCAGGCATTAATTATATCATTAATACTAAAATCTCTACTTTTAGATGGGGAAACCAAGGCCAAGAAACGTGATATGATTTGCCCAGAGTCAGTATGTGGCAGAGCTAGGTCTGAGCTCCGGCATCCTGGCTCTAGTGTTTGTGCTTATAACCTCTATATTGAACTGTGTGTGTCTTCACATTATAAATAGCCCAGTATCTTTCATTTGATGAGTGAATTAGTGATAGGTAACAAAGAAGGCATGTTTCAAATACGAAGATGCCATGAAATGAATATGTTTTTGGAAAGAAGCGGTATTTTTATATGGTGTACATTAAGACTTTTAAAAACTAAACAGTTGCCTCTGGTACTTGGTAAACTGATTTAATCAACCCAAAAAATCTTTATTGAGACAAGGGTAGAATTATTTATCTTCTCTCCTGTCTTTCCTAGCTCTTTCTCTTTGTCTCCCTTCCACCCCTACATCCAGTCCTCTTCTCTATCTTGTCAGTATTTACCTTGGTCTGAGGGACCATGTTTGTAACGTAAAGCTCACATAGGTATAGACTAAAATTTCAAAAACCATTGACTTCAATGTGGAATTTAAATTCATACCTCAAAATATTTACACAATTACTGTTACAGCCCTTGGGCTTTAGTACTTTAGTTGGGAAGAGTTTGATGTCAGGGTAGTATAAAAATGGTTTAAAGTTATACAAGGAATGACAATAATAGTGCAGACAGCAGATAAATAGCTTATTTGCTAATATAATGGGAACTGTTTTGAGAAGAAAAAGAGCAAATCAAATGACTTAAATATTTATATTTGAAGGATATTCTAAGTTCAATCAAATTCAAACCAATTACATTACTTTAAAAATTACTTTTAATATGAGCTATAAATATCAATCTAATTACATATCAACTGAATGACTTTGGTTTTTCCTCCTAAATCTGTTCAGACTGGTGCATGTCAGAGTTAACCAGGGTTGCGGGGTGGCTTAAAAAATTCTGTCCAGGTTTCAACCTTGACCATACTCTGGGGGAGAGAGCCCCAGGCCCCAGTGTCTTTCTCAAGCTCCGCAGGGGATTCCAGTATGTTGAGTACACCTGCCTAACAGATGACTGAATTTTCAGGTATACTGAACTGAAAGGTTGGCTTTTAAAAACCATGATTTGTAACAGAATGGCAGAACTTGCTTCTCAGCCATTTGAAATTTGGCTCTCATTACAGAGCTAAGAATCTTCTCATGGAACAAGGATGCTCAATTTGGCAGAACTCAAGCACAGGAAGAACCACAAAGGACTGTATTTCTCTTTTCTCTGGACTCACAGCAATCATTACATACAAATATGCTAATTTATCAGAATAATAAATGAGTGGTTCTGCAAGCTTTGTTTTAGATTCACTTGCAAGATTCTTAGCATCTTCAAAGAAGGGCCTTTCAAAGACTCTAAAACCTCAACCCGACTTGCTTTCTATCTTTCTCTGCTTTCTACATATATATGAGTTTTGCCGGGCAGAATTTCCATTAACCAAAATCAAAGGGAGAAACATTTTTAAAAAAACAAAACCCACAGAAACCCTCAGATACTTCAAGCTGCATGAAGAGCTGACACCTAGTTTCCTTCTTCAGAAAAGAAAAATAAGGGAATAAAACATTTTTAGAATTCTTTCACCATTCAAGAATCTTACATTTGTTGTTAAAGCCAATAGTTCTTCATTTTTGGTTAATGGAGAATCTGAGCTTTCTCTCCACCTTGGGAGAACGAAATAAGTATATCTTTGGCTGCAGTCAGGTACCAACTCAACAAAGAGCCATCTTTTAATAGCTGAGGTACATGACACTGAGCAGCCCCAATGGACAGAGGCTGATTTCCAGAAAGACATGGAAACACTCTCTGGACTGACCCAAGTTGTTTCAGATGATGAGTGGCTATGGAGCTGACAAAACATTATTGTCCTGAAAGAAGTACAGAGGAAATAAATGAGATTAGTTTGCTTCTTAGTGGGAAAAAAATGTGTTCAGTGACTTTCTTCCCTAAGATTGGGTCATGTAACCTGCTGTCAGTTTCCTAAATAAATCACCTGCAGAGAAACAGACTAGAACCATCTTCAGCTATGCCTCTAAATACTCCTAAATGGAGGGCCCAAGGAAGTGAGACAGGAAATAACCTTTTCTTACAGTTTTGGTGTCAAGTTCTTCTTAGTACATCCTTGTCTCCCTCATGTTACCCAAAAATCCTTTGCTTCGTTTACTCTCCTTGTACATCTGACCATCATGGACAGAGGCCATTCAACCCAAGAACGGTCTTAGTATTAAGTCATCACTTAGTAGGGAACAAGGACATCACATCTCAACAGTTTCGCTTTTTGCTTTTAAGGACTGTGAAACCCTTCAACCCGTAAGACCCTTCTTGAGTCCCAAACCAAGCTTTCTGTATGACCAGGATATAGTCATATATGAAATTTGTTGGAGAAGTCGAAGATGACGTCCTGCATCTGTGTGAGAACTTAAACACTTAAAGAAGATGATTTAATTTCATGTTACCCTGGATATTCTTCTCTGAGGTCGCTCATTATATTCCAAATTAAGTATAGGAAAAACTTTAAGTGCATTTTTCTCTTTGAATGTCAATGACTCAAACTGTTCAAGGTGTATTTTCATTCAAGCCATTGTACCAGTAATAGACTCTAGTAGCCAAGAATCCATTTCTGTATACCGGGAATATCCAGACACTATTTTCCACATTGTAAATTTAGAGAAGGGATGCATAAGTTGGAAAATATGTTATTTTTATTGGAGTGTAAGGACTTTACTGTGAAAATAAAGATTTTTCTTTTAATTCAGTGCTAACTGAACATAATGTATCTCAAGTACATTATTCTGATCAATGACATCACAGATTTCCAGGTTTGCTAATCTGGTGCTTTGAATCATACAGAGAGAAAAGACAATAGATTTTGGGATCATACTGTTGCTGATTTAGCAGTGCAGAAAATATTTTTTTCTTAGCTTTGCAAAAATAATAGAAAATGGCTATTGCTATGTGTATACAATTTGAACTCCAGTGTATCAGAACAAGGATGAGTTAAATGTCTTTTCTTGAAATTATGTATTTATAGAGTTTGACAGAAAGAATAATACCTAAGTTTCCACAACTCAGAAGAATCAAAAGATACTACGGTAACACAAAATTGACTTTTAATGTTTACCATTCATTGTATCTTACAGAAAACGAAAACATTTTTTTTTTTTGTAATACAGATCGGTTCTTCTCCTCAGATATGTATTCAGTAGGTGTTAAATGCCTTGAAATACTGATTTTCTTTTAATCAGGTGGCTTAGTGACTCTTGTATTTTTCATTTCTTTGTCATACACCATTGTTGCTCTGGCAGTAGTGAGCTATGATACAATTGACTTCTCAAAAAATTCTGTTGTTATCCATTGATAATTCTTGATGCATTCTATGCTGAAAACTGATAGGTAATTCCCATTTAATCTTCCCCTTTTTAGTGGTCAGCTACACCATGAAACCACCATATTCTTTGGAGCACTGAAATCAAGAAACCCCATGGCTGCCAGCAACCAAATTGGAATCTCCTATGAGTCTATTTCTAATTGCCAAAATAAGAAGCGACTATATTATTGCATAAAATAAAACTTTAACAGGTACCTGCCCCCTTTCTATGTATGACAGAAAGTTTAAATTTACAAATACCATATTTGACTAAAAATTACTTTGATAAAATGTGGCAGCAGTCATTAAAAGATGGCTTCCAGTGTTAATATGACTAGCTTGTTTTCATTCCGATCCTGTCTTCTAATACACATCATTTTATTTGCATTTTCAAATACAGACACCTCAGTGAAATTTGTGGATAAACTTTGTTCCTTATATGGGCCACAAGTGTTAATGGACAAAATGGTCAAAACAAGATTTCCTAATCCAGTCTCCCACCTCCTCACTCTGATGCTCTTCGAACCCAAATTTGAGGAGCAGTTTCTGTATTAGCCAATGTTATACTGACTTTCTACTAAGAACGGCATTAGGATATACTTTTTATTTCACACATTCTCAGTAAGATATCTTGGGGAATGAAGTAGGAAAATAATGTTTGGTGGAAAAATGGCAAAATGAGAACATTAAAAAAAGAAACAAATTTATTCAAGTAGGTGTCCAAAGGGGGGAGTAAGGGGATTTTGATTCTTTGGGGGAGAGCAGAAGATAAAAATTCTGCCCAGTAGTATTCATTATGTCAAGTTTTTTTTTTTAAACATGGAAAAATGGTGTGCAATTGGTATATATTTTATTCAGCTAACAGTCATTCTAGAGGTTTTGTTCAGCACCAGTTCCTACACTAGTAAGTATTCAAAAGTTAAGAAATGCTACTATGCTTACTATTATAAAGGTAGAGTTCTGCAGCAATAGCTGAAAATTATATATCTAACTTCAGTAGAAATTTGTTCCCATTTGCATTTCCAATAAAATTCTTGTAATGTAGTTAATAATTGTTCAAGTATGGGCTTCCTCCAGTGAGTTAACCCCCGTATTTGAGGTGTCAGAGTCACTATTTTGGAGATCATCCCCTCCTGAAATAATATATTCATCTTAACTAAACCATGCAGGTATTTTTAATTTACAAGTTTGAGTTCTCTTTGTATCAGCAGTGTTTGAGTTAAACCCTATAATCTCTTTGGATTTATATTTTTGTACAATTTCCATATTGAACCTAATGTAAAAATGTGCATGCATACATTGTCATTCTTTAATATTAAAGCATCTGAAAATTTCCAGTTATGCTTTGATAAAAGAAATGATCTACTTTTATTTATAATACTTTATCTAGATAATGTATGACTATAATTATGGTTTCGTGGATTTCCAGTTGTTCTATACCTTCCATACATGTAACTCTACATTTATAAATTTATTAGAATTATTACAGAGCTTTAAATGCAACCACAATGAATTCCGGAAACAGATTTATTTACTCATGTTCATGGGAGGAAAATCTACATAAAAACATTCATGAAAGCATACCAGCTATGTCATACTTGGATTATTATACTAAATCCCATTTATTAGAACTCATTGTGAAACAATGGAAAATCATAAAATGTAATTTGAATACAAATATTGGTCCCTGTGGGGTCTCAACAGTCATAAAAATATAGGAAAGCAGAGCTTTATTTAAGATTATCGCTGCTAATGCAGAAAGCTGTTTTTCTGAAGCTGGCCTTCCCTTTCATTAAAGCCCTGAAGATTTTAGTGTGTAAACTCTTTGATGACAGCTTCAGCTTTTCATTGAAGCCTAATGAAGACCAGCAAGGAAAATGACATCATTGACCACATTTTCTACATGGAGGAAGGTTTAGAACTACTTTGTTGACGTTTTTCCCCAAACACAGGCACCAATTGGGCTTTCTAGTGTACATACAAATAGGAATAATAATAAGAATTTTGAAAGGTGGGTCCTGATTTCTTTGTTAGGCAGGTGTATAGTTATTCATACCTTTTGGGACTTAATTTTTTTATATAATGTAAATAAGGAAATATTAAATAGTTAAAGATTATTTTTGTAGGACAGTAACATTTCATAGGCTAACATAAAATCAAGCTGCTAAAGTTTACAATTTTTCTGTCCAGCAGTTTATCTATATAACTGCCCTGAGTAGACGCTAAATGCTGCTTAGCAAATGGCCCTTAGAATTAAAATATAACTCAGTAAAGCTACTCAGAAGATTAAACAATTCTTCTCAGGCATGTGTCATTTTAATTAGAAGAAGGTAGGAGATTCTCATTGGTTAAATATTGTCTGCTTATTTAAGTTTCGTACTTTATATAAATGGAATTATTAAGGAGTTTTAGCTGTGCTTGTTACCATGCATTGGAGTCATAAAAATTATTATTTTTGTCAAAAAGGCAGGATTTTAAAGAGTAAAATATTCTGTCTATTGGAGACTTGAAATACTAACTTTTAGAAAAGTGTAGATTGTTTCCTTGTGAAACTGAGTTTCGTACAACCTCTCAGAATCTGTTTATGTAAAGAAGCCCGTATGTCAAATCTGTTGCTCTAATTTGCTTATTGCAGTGCATTTTGAAATTGTACAAATGTTTAAAATTTGTGCTTGTGGAAGCTGCTGCTCTGAGTAGCTTTACTCTCCTTAATTTAATCCCAGCAATCCTCAAGCTATTGCATGCCCCGTTCATGAAAGGATATTTCGTTGGGATGATGTAGCCTAAACAGTTTCGCTTTAAAGCCTCCTTATGTAGCGCTTCCTTTAACATTATATTAATTTATAATATATATTGAATGATAGCTTTACAAAAACAAATTAATGAATTGGTCTTTATGAAAATGACTCTTTACAGTAAGTAAAAAAAAGAGTTATCACAGTTTTGGTAACTTGCATGAGTTCATATTGAAAAAAAAAACCTTTCACATGTTCTTACTGACTTTAAAACTGATGTGCTCTTGGGGCGCACTCAGTTGTATGCTCTGAAGCAGTAAACACCATACAGCTTATGCTTTTTATCTGGGAAACCCACGAAGCGCACTGCGGCCTCAGTGGGACTGCAGCGCCTTCTTGGCCTAGAGATAGGGTAGCGGACGCTGCCGTCGGCCAACCAGCCTGCGTCGCAGCGGTCATATCCCAGAAGTTGCCAGGCAGCGAATATCTGGCCCACTTTCGCAATCTGAGCACCATCATTGAGACAAGCTTGCACCGCTTCGTCATATGTTAGCTTGGTGGGGTGGATCAGGTAGTAAAAACGGCCTATGGAGAGAAAGAGAGAGAGTTACTGTGCCTGTCTGCCGCTGAGCAACGGAGAGGGAAAGAGCCCCGAACGGAAGAGCTTCTCAGTTCATGAAGGGGGATATACGGCGATGTCAGTCAAGCTTTGGGAACAGGATTGTCAATTAAACGTAGTGTCCCTAGGTCGTGCTCCACTAGTTTTTTTCCTTGCCCCTTAATATGTGTTCAGACATGCCTTTTGCTGGCTTCATAAAAGAAAGGAAAATGACAGATGCAGTTTCTGTTAGCTAATTAGTGACTAAAAGGGCCCCTCTGTAGCGCTAGCGGAGACGGAATTCCACGTTAAAAGCAAGAGCTATTTAAATTCTAGCTGAAGCAAGACTGAACCCCAGAACAAGTTTCTGGAGAGGCAAATTTGAATGTGAAAGGATCAAAAACCATTCCTGACATAAAAGTCCATTTAAAAAAATCAAAAGCCCTCAAGTCCTTTTCATTACAGGTATCAATAAGACATTATTCTTGTTCAAAGACTACAGTATGAAAATGCAAAAAATACAGGAAGTCACTTGCCATAAATAATACGGGCTCAGAATGTGAACTCAGTCTGTTCACTCACAGAAAAGAAGATGAATGTTTTTCAGTGTCCTTCGGTGGGAGCCTGACACCTAACCGTTTCTTGATTTCATATGAAAGAGCAAGTTAGGCTCAACCACTTATCAAATGGTGCTGATTACTAGAATCCCTTCAACATGTATTAAATATGCATGAAGTGTATAAAATATAACAGCAACTGAGTGAAGTGATACACACTGATAGAAGATTTTCTCAGATTAGTTTCAGGTAGAACAGAGTCAGACTTTTATCTGATTATATATTATATAATGTGATGTCCCTCTGCCCCTCATTAGACATAGATTTTTGATCTTTGAAGTATAAATTAATGCTTGCCAGTTCTTTCTATACTAAGATGATGTAATCTGGAAGAAGGGTAGAGGCCAGTGGATCACTGGCTAGAGGGTTAGTTCTATCATCTCTACCAGCAGTTGGCAAGCTATAGGGCATGAGTCAAATGGCCTTTTATTAGAGCACAGCCACACCATCTGTTAAATACTGTCTGTGGCTGCTTCTGTGTTAACAGTATACAAAGCTACATTGAGTACCTGCAGCAGAGACCCTGTGGCCTACAAAGCCAGAAGTATTTACTATCTGGCCCTTTACACGAAGTTTGCTGATATCTGATCCATTGCTATTTTTCCCCAAAGCATGCCTCCACGGAACTAAGATATAAAATGATGGGGCCAAGGTTTGCTTCTTGGGTATGCAACCTGGGTAGTTACACAGGGCCCGATGCTTGATTTAATGCTTTGCTGTCACCATCTTAAAATTCTTAATAATTGGACAATTATTTAATTGCCCTCAATGGAGTGAGACAGGGTTGGGAGCGACATTGAATGCACCACATCAGTCATGAACACTGAGGCAACCTGGGTCTCTTCGCTTTCACCTCCTATGTTATTGCTACTTATTTTTCTAGCAAAGCTCTCTTTACCCTGAGCTTTCTCTTTACCAGAGAAATAAAAGTTTACTCTTTAGCCTGAGTTCTGTTCTCCATCTATGGATATATTGACACTGTAATTTAAGTGGAGAGCCTGGCACAGAAGCTACCCGTACTTCAGCTGAGAGACCTACATCCCAGGGCACACATATCTATGCCATGTAGGGGCCATATTATCTTCAGTGATAAGAAACAGAACCCATACAATATCACAGTTTAAACTATTTTGTAATAATGATTGGATGTAATAAAACCTAGGAATAGTGGAAATATGCACTTTGCTTATTTGGATTTTTTTTTCAAGTATGATATTAATGAATTTTACATCTTTTCAAACTGAAGAAATACATCAAAGCTTTCTTCTTTTCCTATTTTTTTTTAAAGTAGGTGAGATTAAAAGTCAAGTGTAGTGTTTGTCGTATGTATTAGTTTCTGGAATAGGAAAGAAATACTGTTAATATCTTACCATTGAAGTTGGATGTAAAACAGAAAACATCATATCTGCTTTTATCTTTATCCCAAAACCCGTAATTCCTGACACCAGGCACTGTGTTCTGGCCTCCACAGGGCTCTCTGGGCTTCGTGATGGGGTACTGCACAGACCCATCGCTGAGCCAGCCGGCATTGCACCAGTCCAGCCCGCCCCGCCAGGCATCGTACAGCTGGTCGAAGGAGGCAATCACAGCATCCTGGTCCAGACAAGCCTGCTGGGCCTCATGGAAATTGAGATTGTAGCGCCCCAGTCGTGGAAAATAAGGGAATACCACACCTGTCCAAAGGAGAAGTCAAAGGATCATTTGTGGCACAAAAAGCACCTAGTAGGAGCAAATCCACTTGACAGGTGAAAAACATCATAGAATCTCCATCAGACGAAGCCCAACTTTTCAGTCACCTCATAACAATTTCTCAGGGTCCTGTTCCCCTTGAAACAGCCTGTCAGCTGTGAGCATCTCAAAATTAGCTATGTGGTCTGATCATCTCAGTGGTTTAACTCTTTTGCTAAGAGCCTTACAATTCTCCTTTCTAAATTGATCCATCTGCAGATTCTATTTTCTAAATAGCCCACCTTGAGAATGTACCTTCTGTCCCTAGTTACTGACCCTAATGTGGGGTCTTACTACTGGGTTCTTCTCACCTTGGAAAAATTCACCATTGAATACTATGAGTGGGAAGGGACACAGAAATAATGCTCAGGAAGTATTTATCAAAATACACAATGTTTTTTCTTGGCACTAGTTTTATATAATTAGTAATTAGTTTTATATAGTCTTTTAAATGTATAAACAAACGTTAAAAATAGATACAAATGTAGACATACACTTCTTTTCACATGTGCTCCTAAAACTTATCCTGTACTTGCAGATAAGTAACTTTCACTTAGGGGGCTTTTTTATTAGAAACTCGAAAGTGTTCCTTTGCATATGCAATAAAAACCTAATTAAGCAGTCTTATTTCATATTAATAAGACACTTCCTTACAGTGAGGCATATCCCCATAAAAAGAATCATGGGTTTCATACTTATTTCAACTTTTAGTGAAGCCCTTATTTTTTTTCTGTCATTGAACAGTGCAACCAAAGTAAGGGCCTTCATTTCAAAACATTTCCATTACTATTTTTTTAGCTTCCATATTCATATATTGCAAACTGAAACTAAACCTTTAAAAACATTTTTATTGCAAGTAGAAAAAAATCTTCTTGAAGCTTGTCTTGCAAGGAAGGTTCAGAATAGACCTCTGTTCATTAAGTTAATGGCAAAAAAGTAAGTTTAAATATTTTAGAGAGCAAAACACTTAGTTTTGTAGTCAGTATGACTTGACACTTGACTTTGCCTAGGCAGATACTATGGCTTTACAAATGCATTCAGTTCAGTCAAATAATCATGGGAAGTGATTGAGCTGTCTCACAACTTTCTCAGTTTCTTTGGATAAGGATTACATCATGAGAAAGCGAAGTTATATCGTTTGCTGGACTTGAAAGACTACTGCAGCAAGCATCTCCTCCATAGTTGCTAAAAGACAATTAATTTGGGGTGATTGTTCAATGCCTTGCCTTGAACTTGTGGAACATGAACATAATTAAAAATAATTAATATTTTAGCATGTGGAATATTAAAAATTGTCCCAATGACACAGTAATTCGGCCGATTATAATACATGTTGCTATTTTATGAGCCTGCAGATTTATTCAAGGTGAATGTATAATTCACTAATAGTGTAACCAATAGATAGGAAATGTTTTAGAAGTTGTCCTTGAAGACTCTGCAAGAACTTTCAATGGCCTCAATCAAGTTGTGTCTACTGAAGGCCCCAGCAGGACACGTTTGTCCCTCCAGAGCAGTCCAGCTGGCATTGTCCCCTGGAGGCAGCGGTCCAGGAAGGCTTCCTGATCTCATCCTGCCTTCTCAGGTTTTTGGCTGAGGGATCTGTAAGCTGAATCAGAGCCAAAGAAAGGAGGAAAAGACTCTCTTGGTTGCCACTGCCCCCAGCAGCGATGGGGGAGGTGGGGCTGGAGATGGCTCTGTCCAAGATGGTCCAGGCCCCCAGCTAAGGTCCCAGCCTGTGCTGCGGAGGAAGTGCTATGCACTCCCTGTCCCCTCGGGCCCTCATCCTCTTTCCTCAGCAGCCCAGGAATGCCAATGAAAAGGAATATGTTTAATTTATCCAGCAGAGATTTTCTTGGCAGCTCGACCTCAAGTGAGAGAAAATCTCAAAATATTTCAGTCTGGAGAGAGAAAGAAACCATTTGGGTTGGATTCTTGTTCCCAAATGGCTCAAGATGGTAATCGTGGAGAACGTAGGATATTATAATTTATAACAATTTCAAAGACCCAGGCAACCTTCCATGTTTAAATTCACTGTAGTATATTTAATGGACTCTCATGGGCATTAGGAGAAATTTTTCTCTAGTAATTTGCCCTTAATAAGCCATTGAGTTTTGCTGAAACATTGTTGATTCAATTCCAAATCCAGTGCAATAGATTTTTTACTTGAGTTCCTTTCTAATTTAACATAATTTCAGGCAACAATTTCTTGAAGTCAAAGCAAGTCCCTACATTAACATTTCACTGTTTTTCTATTGTAAAAGTAAATATTTAATTTATTGTTCTATTAACTCAAAAGATTTACTTAAAGTTTCATTAATCTTTGGTGATTCTGGAAAGAACACATTCCAAGTACATCCAAGTCAGTATCTATGTCTTAGTCAGGGTTTAAAAGTTTCATTGTATTATGCACATTTGGTACAACAATCAGTTGTTTCTTACACTCAGATGTTTTCAACAATCAGAGGTTTCTTACAAACAGACATTTCTGGAACTACATGTTTGTTATTATTTTATTTATTTACTTACTTTACTTTCAGCTAAGATGTTAAACTTTCAACATCTAGGACTATAAATGCAGAAGCCTTGGCTCTGTGGAGAAAACAAAATTCCTACAACTGAATTACGGAGTAAATAGTGATTGCTTTCATTCAGCATTATAAAAACCTAAGAAAAGTTAAACTTTCATGGGAGAGAAAAAAGAGTGTATAATTATTTTATTTATATGGTCAAAGTATAATCAAAAGTTCTTTATTTTTCCATGAAAGGTTGGTATGCATCACTACAAAGGTGATTAATAAGGATGATACATTATATGAAAAAGAATAATACCAAATGATGTGAGTAGTTTAGTCAGTCAAAATATGTTTCAAAAACACATTCTGTGATTTATAATTGTATGGTCTAGTTCATCCTAGACCATAGCTGAAAAGCTAAAAGTAAATTTCAATAACTCCATAAAGTAAATGTTTTTAGTAAAAAAAAAAAAAAAAGGCAGAGACTATCAGCATAATTTTACCTTCCCAGTGCCTTTTACAGTGCCTATCAGTGCTGGTACATATCTGAAATTATTGTTCTGTTTCAGAAAGTTTTTGGACTATATTTTGTGTATTTGGCCTCATTTTCACCAATGGAACACTAATACAATGGAAGACTGGAAGCACAAATATCACGTTTTTCATATCATTATTTATATATTAGTTGATTGCTGAGATGAATTATGTAGCCTAAGCTGCTCATGAATTTCTAGTGATACTCTTGTTACATTCGTACAAGGCTTGCCTCTGGTTAGGTGCTATTTCTAGCAGTGTGGGCAATAGGTACTAATCATACGGCCCTATTCCAAGAATCTATGTGCAAAAAAATTGCATTCTACAGCTACTTCCAACTCACATGTAGGTCACTCTTCCAAAAGGATTTACGCATTTTTTTTTATTAGTATGAGTCAATAAACAGTTCTTAAGTCACAACTAAGAGCAAGGCACTGTGCTCAGTTCTCTAGGAAACAACAGGTTTGAAGTGTAGCCTATTCCTGTGAAGAGTTTATGACTTTATGTATACACCATATATATAAAAATCTGAATCTAAGACAGAATAAAATCTTGTAATATAAATATAAAACCATATAATTTGGGCATTCTGAAGAATGATATTTTTCTACGTGGAAAATTCTTCTGGAGAACACAGTACTTAATCTGTATTAAAGGAGCAATATAATTAAACACACTGTGCAATTACCATTGGAAATGGAACTTAATCATGATATTTAAAATGATACACTTCCCTGGTTTACTTACACACATTAGAAGATTGACAGGAGCTTAAGTGAAACTGGCCTGATGGTAGATGGTCACATGTAAGAATGTAATTGATAATGAAAAACATTGGAACCTGAAGTTAGAGCTAATAAATGATAACCACAAATTATTTTAAAATAAATATAGGGAGACAGTAAATAAGGCATATGAAATATTAAAGTTTAGGAAGTATTTTGGCATATAAACATAAAATCTTAGAAGAAAAAGTAACTGAACAGATAATATACTTCAACCTGTTACTTACTGATGAGGAAGCTATGGTACAATAAAGGTAAGTAACTTGCCCCAGTTACAAAATTTACACTGCCAGAGCGGGGACTAACCTAAGCACCTTGATACTATTAGCTCAAGGCTCTGTCCATTGCCTGATGCCCTTTTGATAAAGGAAACTGGTTTTCAAGTAATATCTAATGACTGTCTTCTCTTATCAGCTATTTCTCTCATCCTGAATAATGCCAATGTTCATGGATATTAATATGAATCAATAAAAACTGAAAGCACCAGGTGCATGCAATCAGGAGCTGAGAACTACAACTAAGAGAGACAAGAGGTCACAAAAATGCACTTTAAGACATCATGCAATTTATTAGGTACATAAAGCTAAGAAATCTCCATACATATGATGGAATTCTATGGGATTTAGAAGGTAAAATATTCAGTGATGAGCTAACCAACAGATATTTTTCCAAAGGCACAAGTCTGTCTTAGGAAGTGAAAGGAGCTTCCAGTAAGCACATACTTATAGTTCATGTGCATAAGGAAGGATGAATTCTATCAATGCAGCCAAAATTCATCCTTCAGTGTAAAAAAACACTGAAACTCATGAATGTAAGATGTTTTGAGGTACATGAGAAACCAAGGAGAAGAATTTCTTTATATGTGGGTCAGACAGAATTTTGGGCAGAGGGGACACAGGACATCAAGGACATTTTTTATTGTTTAGTTTCCTACACATTTTGGTTTTTGAGCCTACTGAATATATTATACATTTAATAAATAAAATTCCTCCCAAAATGCCTTGACCATTTAATATTCAATATCTAAGAGACTCTGGGTCATTAAAAAATGTACTACTTTACAAGAATATTTAAATATATCTGGAGGTTAATTTTTAGTTAAAGTGTTCCAGTTACTTCACAGCATACAATTACATGTATTCTAGTTAACAGATGTCCTTCACAAAACTTGGCTTTATTTTGAAACTGAGATAATTTTAGAAGCACAATAAAAAAGCATCCACTCTGAATTTCTCAATACCCATACAGTGAGATTTAAATGGTGAACAGGGTAAGGCAGTTTCTGAATGTTGTTAATTCAGTTCCACTGCACGTTTCTCCTAGTTGAAAACAGCTTCAATTTTGCATATAACCATTGTGTGTACATTTCAAATATGAAAGCTGGAATCAAAGAAAGACTTCAAAATACAAAAGACCAGAAAAACATGGTATGCATGGATTTTTGATTTCTCACATCACCACTATGGTAACTACTAGACATTACTCGGAATAAAAAAAAGCAATGATTAGTTATCATTTCTAAGTCTCATATGATTTATAGATACCCACCTTGTAAATCTAACGCTACCACAGTGGTATCATCTTCTAATCCTTCAATCACCTCACACTTATATCTCCCATAATCCTCCAGGGTGAGGTCTGTGATCACCAGGGAAGCATCATTCTCACTGCCTCCCTTGAGAAACACTCTCTCCTGGTAGCGTCCGTAGGCTTTCTTGTGGTATCCCATGGAAACAAAAACATCCACTTCCTTGAGGTAATCTGAAGTTAGCTTGGTCCACTTGATGCGGATTTTGTGGGTTCCTGAGCCAAATGCTGTAGGGTCTCGAAAAAATTTACATGGCAGTGTAACATTGCCACCTCTGTGTGAGAACACCTTGGCTTGTTCTGCTTCCACAAGTAGACGGGGGCCATTTTCTGCTATAATTAAAAAAGGAAAAAAAAAAGAGAAGAACCATTAATATGTTTTTAGACTGTTTTATAAAATGAAGTTTGCTACCTATACAGGGTATCTGACAAAGAGTAGCCCACAGTGATGAGCTTCTCTGTACTGTTGAATAGTCATCTCCTTTGAACTACACTGGAGGTGTACTGCTAACTCCTAGGGGATCTCTGCAAGGCAGTCATGTCTTTTAAACCACTGAAAGAAGAAAGGATGTGTATTATAATCATTGAGAAGTATTAGATATAAGACTCCAGTCATCTCAAATGTGATGATTTCATAATAAATTCTACTTTTTTTCTTTTACACTTAAATATCAAAAATGTACAACTAAGACCAAGAGAAGTGACAGAGTTCCATGACTAATTTCATCAATATAAACCGAAAATAATTCATGGTAGGTAAATTTATCTCTTTCAAGCTCAGCCTTCAAATACAATGAGTCTGTATTACAAGAAAAGTAATGATGAACTTTCATTGTATGGTTCTTGCCAAAGGACTTAGAATATCCCACACATTTATGGCTTCTATTCAAATTTACACCTGTGATACGTAATTCTGGAGCATTTTCAAGCAACATGTATGTAATTTACTTTTGCACAAGGGGTAGCTATCAGAAAGGTGTTTTTAGCAAATGCTTTTACAAGAGTTCCAGATTTTGAAATATACCCCTCAAAACTTGAATGTCAAAAGTATATCCAAAGGTATATTTATTTTCTGATTAACCAAGTAATTATCTGTTTCCTTGTTCCCTTGAATCTCCTCTCCTCACTCTTTGCTTTCTGCTATGTCTTTGTTCTACAGTTACCTGATCGCTTCCACCTTTCCTCTCCTTGCCCTCTTGCTTGCCTTCTCCCTACCCCCAGGCCTTCATTGCCTTCTAGAGAGCACTGCGATGTTCCAAGCCTGCCAAGTCGGCAGGCCTGCCGCTCTCTAGAGAGCCCGCTGTTATTTTCAGATCTTGGCTTTCTCTGGGGTTTCCCTGGTTAGCTCATTGTGCTTTTGACCTTGACAAGGGCTCTTGAGGATGTGCAAGTTTTAAAAATGAGAAAGCAATATAAGAACTCCTTGACTAACTCACCTTCTCGTCCGTGCACAGCTTTCAAAGACTGCCAGAGCTGCCTGTCATGGAGCTCTGCAGCCCGTCCTGCCCTCAGCCAGTGGGCACTGAAGAAACCTTGGCTGTGAATCATTTAAGAACCCCAAGTAACCAGGAAGAGTAGTCACTCACCTCAAGACAGATTTCATAATTTAGTCACTTAATGGCATATACAAGATTCAGATTTTAAAACAAAAAAGTGTCCAAAAAAAAAAAAGACACAGTGGTTCTATTTTTGTCATAGACCAATACAAATTAATATTTTAAAATGAATGTCTTTCATTTATAAGTTAGCCCCAATCCTCAGAAATGGAAAAGTTTAGCAAAGCATTAGTACCCCCACTTGCAATGATAATAAAATGAGGGGATAACAGCTTAATTGAAATGAATCAAAAACCTAGCTTATTTAGCATTTCCTTCAGATTCTATTCTTTATCTTCTTATTTAGAATCACAGAATTGTAAGAAATGAAAAGTAAATCTCTCCAACTCTACCTAATATATAACTTTCCCCTTATATCTCCCCAGTGACTACATCCAATGTCTTCTTTGTGGGAGGAAGAGAAGGTGCTGATGATTAAGTTTGCTCAATAAAGCTTTAGGGTACTAGGGAACATGCCCCACCCAGTACCTGGGGGTGGGGGACACCAGTGAGCTGGGCCTTCCCATGCTGGGGTTTAAATTTAGACACGACACAGAACTACAAGAGGCTCAAGTTTCATGATTCTTTCAAGTTTTGTAGAGTTAAAACTAATGCCCAAATGCCCTGGCATAGGCATAGTAGTTAGGGCTTTAACGTGATAGAGACCTTGTTCTCATTTCCCCTCCTCAATTTACTAGCTCTGAGGCCTTGAGCAAGTTGTGCAGCCTCTAAGCTCCATTTTCCTTTTATGTGTATTCAGGATAACAATATCGGCCATACATAGCTGACTAATAGACATGTAAAGCACTTAGAAGAATGTCTGATCACAAGTAAGTGTGCACTCACTGCTAGCTATTCTTATGGCAGAGATTTTCAAAAGTATTTCTCAAATGACATCACCTGATATTGAGTATTATTTTGGCATAGGGTAACTCTCCATGGTTTCACTTACTTAGAAAGTTTTCAATCATGTGGGGTGAAAAATACATAAAATGCCACCTGTATTATACAGGAGACTTGGAAACCACTGTGTGGTCTAGCATAACCATAAGGTGTTCCAGAGTGAGTACAAGGTCTGAGTGTTTTTATCAATTAAAGAGTTAAAGCACAGATTAAAACTTGTGTACAGGGGACTAAGACTTCTAACTACTTACTGTGGTTAACTATCATCTTGTAGTATTTTAGAACTATAGGATTCTGATTCTTTTAGGTCTTATTTACTTATACTGTAGCACTGTGAGTGGATGATGATTTAGATAGTATAATAATGAGAATTGAACAGACACCAAAACTTCACTGGCTTCCCACAAAATAGTTTTTCTAACAAGCCTGCAGGAAAGTATAAAATTCTACCATTGTTGTTTCTTTTGGGGTGGGGAGCTGCAGCATTGAGGTAATTGATCATGGAAGTCCCTGAGTAAAATTCAGAGAACCTTAAGAAAGGTGTATGATGTGTAACAAACATACTGCATGACAGAGAGCTGTTAATGTCCATTACCCTAAACCCCAACATGCCTTGAGAACAATGTTTTTTGTTAGATTGCTTGTTTTTACAAGTTGACCCTGCAGATTATATAGTATTGAGCATTGCTGGTGGGAGCAGCCTGTTGCAGAACAAGTAAGACATAGGAAGGAGCCCTGGCCAGTGAACCACGAGCTCTGGGTTTTTGATTGACAGGTCTACCCCATGAGAACATGGAGTTTAGGATTCTGATCAGGCCTGCAATGGCTGCTAGTCATGACAGCAGTCAGCCAGGAAACACACTAAGCTGGAGAGCAGAGAGGTCAGGGACAAAAAGCAAAAAGGGAATCTTCAAAAGTGCTGGTGACACACTTTGCACCATCTTGCCTAGAATATGTCTTGAATCTGATCATTGGATGAAAAACTTGGATCAGTATGAAATGAATGTTTAAATAAAAACTGATCAATAGGCCATTGCAAAACAAATAAAATGCAAAAGATAAAAATAAGCCTTGATTATCAGAGAGTATTGCTTATTTTCCTCTTTTTAAAAGAAATATGAAAGAATAAATCAAACTGCGTGGCATACATGTGTTCATTTTGGCAGGACTGTATTTTTCAAAAGCTCAATTTGTAAGTTATAGGAATTTCACATGTCTACTAGTGAGTGTCAATGACAGTGACTTGAAAGATTTGATGCCCTTCAAAGACCACAGTTTTCTCCAGGGAAAACAGCAGGCCTCATTATTATTTTACAAATTCTGCTGTGAAATCCAGAGGACATCACTCAATTTCACCAAATTATGAAAGCAATGGTGTGACTGAACGACTGACCTTATTGCTCTGTAATTCAGATGAAGTATTTTAAACAATGGGACAAAACCACTTTATTGCAGAAAAACAATTCAGAAGTATTATTACCTATTGTTCTGAGTTCTTTTAAAAGTGTAATCTTTTCTTCTGTTTGGCAGTTCATTGCTAAAGAAATATAGATCACAGGGAAAAGGAGACGGTGCTATGGATCAAAGTATGACTTTTTAAAATTGTGGATGATGCAAAATGACCAATAAAATGTTAAAAACGCAAAACAAAACAAAATTGGGGTATATTTAAGATGACTAAAGAAGGTGCTAAATAAGGCCATTAAAAAAAACCAATCTCCTCCTAAGAAAAAAACTACCACCATTTGAAGTTTTTTTTTTTAATGTGGTACAATACACATAACATAAGACTTGCCATTTTAACCAGTGGCATTAATGACTTTTCAGTGTTGTGTAGCCACCAGCATCTATTTTCCAAAGTTTTTTATCCCTCCAAACAGAAAGCCGATTCTGCCCTGACATTCCTAACTGCTAGGCAGGGTCAATTGTCAACTCCAGGTCAAAGCATCTGAAAACACTGCCCAAGGTTTTAAAAATGGCTCCTTAGTGTTCTGACATTTGTTGTCACTTTGGTGGGCTTGGATGTGTAAGGCTCTTTCCTGTGAAGCGATTGCTGTTGTTTCTCACTATGTGTGACCCTGCCTTTTGGTCGCAGAAGCTACAAGAACGTAGCATTTCCCACACCTGCCCCAGCCCACTGCCAGGGCCTACCTTCTCTCTAACCATTGTACAATCTTTGTCTCTTGCTATTTCCTATCAATTTACAGCTGAAACAAATTGCTTAGAATTGTATTTTCACAATTTCCTTAAATGGCATGTGTCCTTTCTGCATCGAGACCTGCATTATCTGATGTGACATGTTATGGAGCATTCTTATAGGTGTTTACCATATTTATCTTCCTTCTTTGCCTTAGAGCTAAATCGATTCTGTAATCAGAAACCACCCAACACCAAAACACATTGGTGACATTGATCATGAATGTTATTGCCATATCCAAGTCTCAGGGTAAAAAATAAGGGTAAATACTATCACTATTTTAGAGCCTATATGTTGATCTATGGGAATATTAATTTTTTTTTTTAGGGACAGTGGAGCTGTTTTTCCACAGAGGATGTCTTAGACAAAACTTTGTCACATAAACCTGATAAAAGGTGAGTTTTTCTACTTGAAATGGGCAATAAGAACCCCCAAGTATCTCGAGAGGGTCCATTGAACAGTGTTAAAAATCACTATTCTGAGAAATAAACCTGCAACTGTGTTAATATCCTGAAAATATTCTGCCTTTTCTTATTTCCTTTTCTCCATCTCTTTTCACCAGGAAGAAGTAAAGTGTGATGAGGATGTTTAGCTCTGTTCTGCTAAGTTCTTTGTGAACTTTTGTTTTTCCAAATTCA